TCTCTCTCTCTCTCTCTCTCTCTCTCTCTCTCTCCCTCTCTCTCTTTCTCCTGTTTCAGTAATAAAAGAAAGCAGCCTTGAGAAAGTCATAGACCATAGTGAATCCAGAATATTTATTTCTTAGCTTTCTAGTTTGGAGTTTCTCTCATTGGTTTACATTGTATTTTTCTGCCTTGGTTTTCCACAAATAGATGTAGTCCTTTATATTTTCGGTATTTCTTCACTTTAGTTTCTTTTTGGAATCTCACTCATTTCTTCTGCCTACTTAGCTGGTTCTATCATTTGCTCAGAGTTTGAGTTACTGAAATTCTATTATTATTTTCTTGCAGACACTCCTGATTATTCTATTCCCACTTACATTCTCTACAGATTGCTTTCAAAATTTTCATCATCTTAAACATATTATCGTTTGTACCACCTTTTCAAGACAGGTTCTCACTGTCTATCCTGTATGGTCCTGTAACTCTTATTCATCCCTCTCCTTCTGGGTACATATTTACTGGCACATGCCACCATACATATTTCATTTTATTATTTAACTTTCTGTTAAAATTTTTATTTATTTTATTTAACTGTGTAGAATACTGAATGAAGGATACTGCTTCTATTTGTGTAGCACAAAATCCCTTCACAGAATTATGCTAAGAACTTGACAGTAAATACCTCATTACGCATTGGGATCACTCTTGATTAATGGTCCAGGTATCATATTTAATGAGACAAGAGTGGTCAATGAAATAAAGTCTACCAAAGAATCTGTACAAAATATTAAATTCATGGTACAATTTGAGCATCATGATTTTATTTTGTGTACTGTGATCTATGTGTTTGATTGACCAGGATCAGCTGCTATGTATCCACACAATTTTGGAGTGTTTTTTAAAGCTACTTATGCTGAGATATTATGAAAATTATATAATATGATAGAGATATATTGGTATACAACAGTGATCTTCTCCATAGTACATTCTACTCTTCTGCTTTGAATATTTTAATGATATTTTTAAATTCATTCTCAGCATTTAATTTCATTTTATAGAGGTTTTTTACTATATATAGTAAGTGAATTAAAATTTTGGGGATTGAAATTTTGTATAAAATAGATTAGAACTAAAAAATAACTGGGAACAATGAGTTGAAAGTATCCCTAGACATAGAAGTGATAAATGTTTGAGGAAACAGAAATGATATTATAGCACTCTTAATGTACTTATAGATGTATTGGACTGTTATCTTATATCCTACATGTGCACAAAGATTATGTGCCAGTAAAGATCTAATATTTTTAATGCTGGGACACATTATACCTAGGAATATGTAACAATACAAAAGCAAGCTAAATCATCAGTGATTTTTAATGTAAATATTATTTATTCAATGCATTAACCCTGAGGTTTAAAGAATTGGTAGGATTTTGTGACATCATTTCCCCCACATCTTCTCTCATAGCATTCTGCCTCCATAGAAACATTAACAGGCCAGCTTCTGATGGAAGGCATTTTGACAAACTTATACTAATGGAACCATTTCCAGGCTAGAGTTTATACATATCACACTGGCCATTGTTCATTCTGACGTATGATGCATTCTATGAATATATCCTGATTTAAGAATAAGAAACAATGAGAAAACCAAAAATTATTTATATTTTGCTAAGAATTTATGTAGTTACCTTTAGAAGGGGGAGTTTCTGCATATATTTAATATCATCTATTAAAAATCACAACATGAACTGGAATGCAATAAATAGCAAGGCCAAGGGTTTGTTCATTTTGCTAAGTATGCATCACTGAAATGTCAGTTTGGTTTAATAGCTGAAGTCTCCTTTTGTTCTTGTCAGAAGTTTGTTTGATGTAGCATCTCTCACTAGATAAAGCTATTTTAATTAAGTAGAATTATATTTACCAGTTTAGCTATAATATTTCAAAAGCCAAACATTTAAATAATAAAATTCTCATCATTTCAATATTACATTTTACTTCCCAAGGTGTCAGGATTAGATTGAATAATGATAATATAAATTAATTATTCATTAACCTTGTGATATGATTTCAAGATTTTATTCTACTGTACTTCACTGTATAATATGTATTTTCTGCTCTATTGTTAGTGTTCTGGGAAACAGATAAGGGGACTTGCGCAATTAGGCTAGAACTACTTACCACTGAGGTTCACCCTGAGCCCGTGAAATTTGCCTTACCTTGTCCAGATGTGTTATCTTTGTGACAAAAGCCGAATCTTTCTCTATATCTGACAACTGTCCACTGAGAACAAAAAGACTAATCTTTATACCAAGAAAACTTTTCATTTCACAGGTTTTCACTCTCGGTTATGCAAAACTCAAAAAGAAGAAAACACCTACTTTTTTATGTTAGTAATTTCAGGAAGCATTTCTTAAAACACAGGATCAGAGACATTTTATCTCCTTTGTATGTTGCCAGTTCTAAAGCAGATAAAGATAACTCTGTACTCTTTGGCAAAATAGTGACTCTATTCATTCATCTGAGTAAATATCTAGGTCTGATGCATCAACAGCAATGTTGAATGATGTTATTAGATTACTGTCCCTGACACAGAAATCTTAGAGCAGATGCGTTGGTCATTAGGAAAAGAATTACAGTATTGACCATAATTTTTATTAACTTTTGACAGACATTTGTAATCTGCATTGAGAGAGACAACTAAGTAAATATTCCTCATAACGTACCTGTGCAGAGTGATCTGTGAGGACCCATCATCAATATAACCCTTTGTAGGTAAGTGAAGAATTTTACATGTGTCATGTCCCTGAAGGCTTCCTCATTGAAATGTGTTTGCTTGAGTGTAGAAGTCCCTCAAGAGGAGAAATAAATCTCCCCAGTACACGTTATACTCCAGAGGGAAAGAAAGACAAATAGCAGCCTCATTAGTCAAGTCTCCACTCAAAGTTTTATACAAAGTGAGACATAAATGTTGCCCAGGAATGCATTTGGATGATCATATTAACAGGTGGATGTAATGATTGCATCATCTTATTCTTTGTTTCTTGGGCTGTATTGCTATAATATATTCAGTTGGAAGTACTGAAACTTTCCCTAGAAAGAAGTTCTATTATAAGTCACAACAAATGTCTCATAGTATCAATTTAAAAAAAAAAAAACATGATTAGAACAGAAATTAACACTGCTCTTCTGCATAAAAAGCAAACCCTGATGCATGTGACTTAAAGCTCATATTATATACAACATGATTTCAAATGTGAATGTGTAAGAATAATTCCAATGATAGTTCACTGAAATTCTCAAGGCATCCAACGGAAATCAGGTTTCTTTCTAGGTTTTAACGAAACCAATAAAACTACTATCCAAAATTCAATGATTTTTTTGAAGGAACATACAAATATTGCAAGTGAATATGTATGACATTCAATATTTTTTTTTGGTCTTTTTTTGAGATAGGGTCTCCCTGTAGGCCCAGCTGTCCTGGAAATCACTATGTAGACCAGGCTGGCCTTGAACTTACAGAGATCTGCCTGCTGCTGCCTCCCAAGTGCTGGGATTAAAGGTGTGAACCACCATGCCTGGGCTGACATTCAATATTTTATTTTTCTTTGATCACACTATGCTTTCCTCCCTTCCTGTCTCCTTATAATCTCCTCTTACTTGCATATAATGTATGCATATATGTATATTTATTTAAAACTAGATTTCTTCATCTTTCTATATCCAGCTTCTAAAATAATTCCCAATACCAAGTTGATATCTGGAAGATATTTAGCAACTGATATTGTGAAGGGGTGACTGAATAAATCGATGGGATAAAATGTTGTTCCTGCCATTATGCCTTACTTCCAATGTTACAATCAACATTTAAATGTCGTTTTAACTTTGAACAATAGACCATGATAATCAGATAATGGAAACATTATCTGAAATAGTTATTCCTTAAAGGAAGACAAAATTGGTCTTCTCCAGTTTAAAGCTGAGTTTCCATCAGTCACTTGGTCTCAACACTTTGACCAGCTATGAGTCTGCATTAACTATCACTCTCTGCAAAAAGGACCTTCTTTGCCCAGGCTGGTAGCCCAGTAGTCTATAGGTAAACACAAATATTTAGAAAGCAGTTTGACAAGTTTTCTTAGGAAACAACAATCATGCCCCCACACAAGGTCCCGGGCACATTAGAGAAATATATGTGGAAGGAAATCAAGAGCCAGAAAATGGGGAAGAGTGTCATAATCCAGTGCCATCACAATGAGAAATGGCAGTTGTAAGCATGAACAGAGCAATGTGGATACTTGCACGACACTGGGTCCTCCAAATTTCCACCCAAAAGGCCCCATTCCATCCTAAGAAATTAATGCTGGAGTTGGAGGTATAATTTTCTAATGGCATAGTCACTGGGGGAGTAATGCAGAAGTTCCCATAGGGAAAACAGTGGCTAATGCAAATGAATGCAATCACAATACACTGAATATGTATGAAATTGTCAAACTAAAAATAAAAATGCACAAATGGGAATTATATTTACTTCCAGTGTAAAGATTCTGTATATAATACACTATTTTTGATTTTTCTTAATTCATCAAAAACATGTTTAATGTTTAACAAAA